CTCTCTCTCTCTCTCTCTCTCTCTCTCTCTCTCTCTCTCTCTCTCTCCTACTACTACTACTAACCCACTTACCTTGGCGCGACAGCGCGATGGCGGGCATCGGCGGAGCTCCCGTTGAAGTGACGCGTCGGGCGGGAGAGGTCACGGGGGAGGGGACGAGGGCCAGTGGTTCCCGCCCTCAGGGATTCGAAATCGCGGCCCATCTGGGCCGTCAATCCTGGAGATCGACGACGCAGATGGGCCCCGATTTCGAAATCTTGAAATCGGGCCTACCGGCCCCCTTTTTTTTTGTCGGTTGGCTTGGACGGCCTCCTTTGGGGGGAAGAAGGCCCCCCACGTCGAAAACGGCCGAACCCCCTCCCCCCTTCTGGGATACGCTGGGGTCGCCCCGTGGCGGCACGCCCCCCCTCCCCCCCGGGCGACCACCGGGTCGCCGGGCGGCCCGGGGACCAGCCTAGCTAACTACTAAATACCCTTCTCCCAGCTGAACACCTCCCCAAACTTCGCACTGTCTTCTGCGTACTGGGAGCTAATTTCCAGCCTGCTCAGCCTCAACTGCCTTGTCCTCTTCCCTCCTGGTGCCTCTCCACACATGTCATGCCTCTCTGCCTTGCTACTCACATCTGACACTAAGATCCGTACTTGTAAACTTGATCAAATCAATCATGGACGAGAATCTGCCTTGCCACTCGTCATCTGACACGACAGTCGTGCGCTCAAACTGGACATACATACGAACTATGCTTCTCCCAGCTGAACACCTCCCCAAAATTCACCCTCTCTTCTGCGTACTGTGAGCTAATTTCCAGCCTGTTCAGCCTCAACTGCCTTGTCCTCTTCCCTCCTGGTGCCTCTCCACACATGCCATGCCCCTCTGCCTTGCTACTCAGCATCTGACACTACAATCGCCCTGAAGTACGGATCAGTATCTACTGTGAAGGCGCCCGTGGAAACCGCAGGTAGGCTGACCGATGCATGCGACCGGGTTGAGTAGCAGTGGTGGATCGAGTGCTATTGGAACGAAGCGTCCGTTGGTGTTGTGTGTGGTCTGTGTGTGTTGGACACTACAGCCCTGCAGGGGTGGGGTGGATATCACGACCAGTACGATTCCACTTTTGAAATCCGTGTTGGGGCTGTAGTGGTTAAGAGACTTGGTTCCTGTGGCTGAGGCTGCCGGTTCGAGGCCATGCATGTGCGGAAGAGCATGCAGCCCTGAAGTACGAATCGGTATCTTCCAAATCATCAATTACAAATTTATGATCGGAATAAAGCAACACAGGGCAAAGCTGGCTGAGTTTGTGCATTTTTTCTTATTTTTCTTGATTATAACACTTTTTTCCTTTTCGGTAGCGTGCAGAGAACCAGTGCCGCATCATCTAAGTAGTAGAGAGTTGGGGTGTCATCATCAGCAGTTCCAGACTTTTTTTTGCTGATGACAACAACCCCGCCAGTTGGCCCCACAAGGCACCTGGAAACCCTTCCAGTGGAGAGCACTATCTAACCTGAAAATTGAACTAGATACAGATAGAGAAGTAGCAACATCTGACCTGAGAATTGAACCAGGTACAGCTAGTATGACCCTATGTTCTATTCAGGGCAGATGGTTGTGTGCTGAAGGCCACTCATAGGTCGTAGTATCGGAAAGAGAGCCCTGCTGTCGAGGCAGGGTGAGCGGGAAAAGGAAGTGCAAGGGGGGGGGGAATAGGATTCTTTTGTTTTTTTTAATGGGAAGGGGGGGGGGGGAGGATGAAGGTGAAAACTCACTATCTTGTACCTGTTCGATGCATATGAGGTATACTCACCAGTTGCAACTCATCATAGACATCCAGCAACTGTGCAAGCTCAAGGAAAAGCCGATCTGCAGCCTCCACTGCAAAGGCAACCAACCCACCCAACAGCAGAACCTATTTCCCATGAGTTTTCTTTTTTTTTTCCCGCTTGTGCTCCCCAAGAGTTCCATTCCCACGTCCTTCGTGACATCCATTAAAAATTAAATTGGAATGACCAACGAGAATGAGACAAAGAAATACGATTGCCTACCATCTTCGCCTGAATACAACGTATGGTCATTATTGCTGTATCCACACTCAAAGTTGTCCCAAATACAGCTAGAATGATGGTGCGTTGTATACGGGTGAAGACGGTAGCATGGCCCCTGCACTTTCCGAGACCACATGCAAGTACAAATCTAGCAATGGTCCACAGACTCCACACCAGTTTCATCCCAATCCTTAAGTAATTGCAGTGCTCGCTTTCACATCTCAAGATGATATGCATCACCCTGTCAATCAAGATGGGTAACGTCATAGTCCCATCATATCTCAATGTACATCTCGTCAAACTCGGGCCAGAATCTCAGTTGCCTACCTCTTCATCCAAATAGAATGCCTGGTAAGTATGGAACTATTTTTGGGGGGAAAAGTACAGTCTAGATATAGATATAATGACTGGGTGGCGGGTGTTCTGTTTGGGCGAAGACAGTAATGCATACCTCTTTCCAAACCCTAAGATACTTACTGGATGGATGGGAAATCGTAGGCCTTGTCGACCACTTGCCAAATGCCAACATTTTGAATGCGTAGGAAGCCAATCAGTGTCGTGTTACCAGTCTTAACCCAGCGGAAAATAATGTCTCCAAAATCGATTCTATGTCCATAGACTCCATACCCAGCATGTATGCACTCCCAAAGCGCATCGTAACTTCAGTGAAGAGAAGATGTAGAGCGGGGATTCGACAGCGAGGAGGAAAGAAAGACGAGTCCCCGTCACTCATACATGCAGCCTCTTCCAGCCCACTTCCTTCTTGGGCACTATCTCCCCTTGCCGCCATTTCAGCAATGCAGTCTCTCTCCTCTGATGTTCTCTGACAGGTACAGTGTGCAGGTCACAGCAGGGCGCCCATCCTCCATCCACGTCAGCATCCAATCAGGAAGGATGGCGCAGGTATTCCTCACCTTCGTGGAGACAAGCAGCAGATCACACACGATGTCCCCAGGTAAGTCAAGGCAAGCTTCCCCTTAGATCCCTCTCCAGTCTCACAGCCCTGATCCCCCCCCTCCTCGCCTTATCTGTACACAATGTCTGAAACTATGGCGGTGATGGCCGCTCAAGCAGAATCTCCCCTCAGCCTCGCAGTATCATACTAGCGTCAAGCCAGCGCAAGGCCGAATGATCTCCACGCAGGGCTGGGTCAACGTTACAGTGTTGACTCACGTTGACCAGCCTCTGGTCTCCTTGGGTCGATGGCCCAGATGAATCGGAAGCCAATGGCCTGGATGCAGTGCAGTTCCCAATTTCCGATGTGTCCCACTTGGACTGGAATCTTCTGGATACCTGCAGACAACCAATGATGTGCATCTGATCGACGACCATGGCTGACCAGCGGGTTGACTTTGACTTTGGGCCTGGAATCCTGTGCTGGGGGTTGACCGTTGACTTTCCCAAAGTCAACTGTCGCTCGTAGGGCCTCTGGATGCCGTTTTTGGCCCTGCGCTGGGTACCCCTTGACCTTAGGCCTTTGCCCAGGCTTTCTTCAGACTTGGGGCGTGATTTTTGACCCCTGTTTCGGGCCTGTGACCAAAAGTGACGACCTGTGGCCCACGGCTTATGCAGATTTGAGCTGAGTTATTGCACACTGCCAGGTTCAGATGCATTCAGAATGTTGGCGTTTGGCGGGTGGTGCGGCTAGGCCCCACCATGTCATGATGACACATCAAGAAAATCAAGGGGCTCAACAATTATTAATTATGCACCCTTTCCTTCGGGACATCCCTTAAAAAAATTGGAATGATAAAGAGAAGATTGGCATGGCCCCACACAAAACACCCTCGCTGCCTCAATCCGTTAGTCATTCATTCATTGTTTTCTGTTCTTTTCTTAGGACGTACTCACACAGCGGTGGCAAAGCAGCAAATCCTGCAAAATTTGCAATCCCACTTTTGCTGAAGTACTACCCCGCCCGGTCACACAGTGGGAGCAAATAAACAATGACACGAGCAAGACTTACTGCCAATTGCCGAAATGGTGCATCGCGTGGTCGCACAGCGCAAGGCCCAAATCCTTCAAGGTTTTTCTTTTTCTTTTCTTAGGTCCAACAAGAAAATTCGTTTCAAGATTCCTCTGGCTCGGAGCAGTTGATAGATGCTCCGAAATTTCATTTCAAGAAATCCCAACCTGAAAAAAAGAATCTGCTACCACCTTGAGAGGTGGTAGCAAAATGCCCTTTTCTGCAGCTCGCCAGGCCGCTGACATTTGATACCCCATTTGCTACTTTCGATACTTTCCGTGCCTCGTGCGAGTGGCCCAACCATCAATTTTTTGTGACTCTGCCATAAAAGGCCATAGTGTGAGTATGCCATTATTAGTATGAAAGCATTCCACCTTCCTAGTCTGCCGTGATTCCATCCCCGGACCTGTCGCTGTTGTTGTTGCCTGTTCTGCTGTATTTTATGCCTAAGTGTTGCTGCTGAGTTTTGAACCCGGAACCTGTACGTTGGCCTACCTGTGTGCCTACCTGTGGATGTACCATCTGTTTGGAGCATTGACTGAGCCTGTGGAGTTTTGAACCTGAGACCTGTTCTTGTGTGTGCGTGCAGTCAATGCTTAGTACCATTTGTGCGGTAATTGTGAGTCCGGCAAGTATCTCGAGGGTTGGTTCCAGGGGCAACAGGGGAAAGTGGGGAGACAAAACTCCCAGAATTCGTTTTGCAGGATCCAGGTCGTGTGGTGCTGGCTCGTGAAATCAAGCAGTGTGCTGTGTGGTGAAGAAGATGGCCTTCGCTGAAGTAGTAGGGCAATTGTGTTGCTATCTAGTATCTGATGTTTCTGTTTCTTTTCGGAGTGGAATCGCGCTGTTGTGTCGAATGCTAGTAGGAGAGAACTTTTGCAGGGTGGAGAGTGAGTCATTGAGTGGGAGCATCACTTCGATATCCTGTCTAGAAGAGAGAAGGAGACATGCTGGTGGTAGTAGAGTGCACGCGCTGAAGGCTGCACTGAACTCTGATCTGCATCCTTGCAGCAGTGAGTGGCAGAGTTGCGTTGTGGCTCCATTGTCTATTCTCGGGAGCAATTGTTCGCTTCCTGTTCACCGGCAAGTCGGGCAAGGAATACATCTAATGACACACCCGACGCTTCCGTCATGAACAGCATCAATTGCTCCCTGTGGGAGGAGGATTGATTGTCAGTTTGCGGTCTTCCCTTCTTCAAGTGCTCCGCTCTGTCATGCCGGCTTTTGTAGTGGGGACCACGGCTTCAAATCTCACTGACAGAACTTCAATGTTTCAGACATTGCTCTTCGAATGTGGGGACCACGGCTTCAAATCTCACTGTCTGCTTTTGTAGCAAATGCAGGGACCACAGCTGCAAAAGCGAGAATAATTTCTGCAGTGCCGTCACTGCTTTGAGATGTTGCTCCTCGGGCAAGGAGAACCATGTGGCAGCTGTCACAACTACGCTACAACAAATCCTCTACACGCACTCGATGGACACATCTGCCTGCCTATATAACCCCACTTCTAGCCATGCAGAATGAAACGAGGACTCTCAGGTTTCCAAAAGGCAATTCTCCACTCCGCGTACTGTAACTTCTCACGGAAAGTGTCGAGAGGAGTTTGGTCTGTGATCTTCGAAATCATGTGCAGAGAACAACCTGAAGATACCGACAGATCATGTGCAAAGGATACGGCGCACAGACCCGGATGGCCAGCTACTTGCTCGAGGAATCCAAGAAAACATCAGCTTCTGGAACATGTCATGCTGGAAGTAAGACAGGTCACAATGGGAGGGGCACTCGGTAATAGGAAGGAAGAAGGATAACTCAATCGGGAAGTACGTACACACAAAAGGGCAGAACCCACCCCTGGGCACACGGGAGAGTCACGATAGAGATGGAAGCTGGTGACGCAAGGCAAGGGAGGTGGGAGAAGAGTTCACCCCTTGCTGAGACCCATGCAGCAACTGGTCGAAATGCGGGTAGAGGGAAAGTGCACGAACGCAGTCAGAACACATAGGGGTTCAGCTGCATTCAATGTACTTGCTGTTCATTAATCAGTTGGAGTTCAGGGGTGTTGAATCCAGACTTGCAGTGTGCCCGCTGCTGTGAGATAGATGTCTTGGCGTGCCTTGTTGATAACCAGATCACAAGTTCAAATCCTGGTGGATACAACCTTCTCAAAGTAAGTGCAGGTATGTAAGGAGTCCATCTGCTGCGGCAGTACAAATCGCCAAGCCAAAAGGCAGACATAATCAGGTTAAACAAACACAGCCGCTGCAGTGGCCCGCGTAGTTTGCTTCTTGTCTTTCTTGGCTGTCTTTTACAGACTACCTTTCTCCACCAAATAGAACATATGGTCACCATAGGAGCACTCGCATGCACACAACAGAACGTTCAGATCAGAGTTCACACCAGAAGCAAGCAGATGAAATCCGAATAAATGCATGAAAGAAAGTCGCCCAATTATTATTATAATACAAGAAATTGTTCAAGTCTCCATCAGCTATGGCCGCACATGCATCCACCCTCAATCGCGAACCAGGTGGCCGCACATGCATCCACCCTCAATCGCGAACCAGGTATGTGCTCTCTCTCTCTCTCTCTCTCTCTCTCTCTCTCTCTCTCTCTCTCTCTCTCTCTCTCTCTCTCTCTCTC